TCTTTGGAATTTAGATGATATCTCTAGCGAATGTTCCAACATAGTCTCATCAATTTGTTTGTTTTTCAACATTCCTTCATATGTTATACCAACATCGCAGCATAACTGTGATCTACTAGTGTCGTTTCTTTCGATTAACATAGATACAAGTTTTGTATGCGACAGACTCTGGAATCTACAAGGATTGCTTTTGTAGACGTCGTTTCCTGCGGCAGGTTGACTTTATTTACACATAATGATATATCATTTACTGACAAATCGAATACGCCTCTTAAACTCTCTCTATGTTCTAGTCTGAAACTAGAAAGTAACTTCCTTCCAGAAGGGGAGGCGTAGAGAAAGACTCGGTCATTATGCCAGTTCATAACTAGATTCTGGTCATAATCACCCAGTAAGTGTGCAAGTAGAACACAAAATATGTCATTTTTTTCTGCTGAAGGTCAGCAGTTAGCATAAGAACATATGTGCCTAAAGACACTTTCTCTTTAAAATGAAAACGATACGGAGAAACCATAGATTGGTTGTTAAACGATGGCCGATTCGTTGGTGATTATTCGGTTACATAACGCTTGAAGGTAGTGACACAGTGTAGCCAGTGAAAATAATAACACGTACAGGAATGTGGAATACATTCACACAATAATAATTTTGATAATTTGAATGATCATGTCTGGTTTTTATATTCTATTTTATGCACATGGTATTGCTTTGTTTTGTTAGTATGTGTATTGGTGATGCAAGTAACGCTAAAATATACAATTATAGATACGCACCTTACAAAACATAATACAAGCATTGCCTTTATAGAAACCTAGAGGGACATCTTGAGTTATGACAACAGTTATGTAACAGATGGATAGGGCCTTGCACTAATCAAAGACGGATTTAAAGGACATCTCCTCGCGTCAACTGAACACTGTTGAACATCGGTGACAGCGGACGTAAAACATATTAACCTAACAGAGAACCTAGGTTCTATAACAGTAAATCAATATGAAACAAATCAAATTCAAATATGTCCAATCATTTGGACTAATGGTGTAGTTGATGAAGCGGAAGACGTTTCCTTTTCCGGAGCACTATTATTATCATTGTGTATCTTAAAATGTCTCCATGATAATCTTTCCTTTGTTCATATTTTGCCAACATTTCATAAATACTAAGCTTGAATTAAGACTTGGTTTACATGTCTATATTTCCTATTTACGCCACTCACAGGTTGCAGCTAAATTTGGACTAAGAGATTAATTTTAAATCTGCCAGCATCTTTAATGTTTCAGTCAGTTTCATGTACTTTCACTCTCCGCTCTAGCGCTTACATGCACCAGTAGTCTGGACTGCATAGAACCAAAAGAGTTTCGTCCTGAGAAACCAATCTCGTTCTTCGTACAAATTTGCGGCCTGATCGATGATGTTACGAGGTTAACGTTGGCATTTTGAACTATTTAACCCATCTCCTCCCAAAAATAGTCACCGGGATTCAAGTGTGAAAAAGCCAGAAAGAGCGTTGTCATGTAAAAATGCCAAATGATTGTTCCATTTTTATGTAACCGTGTTATCAGTAGTGGAACTCATGTGGTAAACGTATTTCTAAATATTACCTTGATTTTAGAATGTTATATTACTAACATATAGCATAACAATATTAATAACAAGATTTTCATGTCGTCGATGATGTAACCATAACACCTGGTCTGTATTCTCAATACAATCTTAATGGTCTCAGCGTAGGTCTGTCTCTGTTTATGAAGTTGCCATGGTTTTGTTTGAACTAGTTAAGATTCTGTCGACACGTCGAAATTGTCTCGTTGATTTTATACATAATGGCGACCGGAAGTTGTGATATTTAACACAAAAGATAATGCAGTCGCTATCATAAAACTTAAAAGACAACTAGGTTCGTGTTAATGTTGGTTAGCGTTCCTTCACAGAAGATTACGAATCGTATATTTATCTTATCATAGGAAGAGACGTCACGCTAATGTCGTCTACTGGTAAGTTTGGGTTGTCTATGTTAGGCAGTCCGCTCGATGACGTCATGCGAGACTTACTGAATTACAAAATTCGTGTCATATACTGTGTGTGTTCCTAATAGTACAAGGTGTCTGCAACACCCACAGGGGCCTGTAATAAAGTTTCTGGGGGATGAGGGCTTGTATGTTAGTTATGTTAGTCTATAATTAGCAAAAGTTATCAAAGAAACACCGGAGTTGTAAACCGTACATACGTAACCTTACAATGTCACCTGAAAGTGAATAAAATACGCGAAAATCTTACTTGATACCAGTTTTTTGTTTTTTGACCTGTATGTTAGTGGATAGACGGGTTTGTTTCGCTTTCACACATTGTGAAATGTATGTAAGTTAGTTTGTTGTATTCTTAAGATTTGTTTCCATGTAAGCAATTTATTGATAATCATTTTGGTTCCAAAGGTGTAAAACTTTGGCCGAAGACCGGCGACTTTCCTAAGGGTGGTGAATATCTCTCTTTTTTTCGTTGGTTTCATTTACTAAACCGTACGAACCCTTATCCCACATAAACATTATCACAGGCCCCCATGGTGACGCCCCAAAACATCAGGTTGTTATCACAACCGATAGTTCAAAGCGATGAGCATATGGACATGGCACAATTCTAAGGTTATCATTGTTAACATTATTTAGCATTCTGTATGATGATGATATTGTTTTAATGGCTGAAATATATTGTGGATTACAAAATATACTTAACACATTTGTTATTGTAATGAAGGGAAGATAAATACTAACAAACAAAACAAACAAAATTGATATACATTTACTTAAGGAATGCAGAGAACTCTGCACTATGTATTAAAGTATATCGTGGAAACTATTCTCATAGTCATCATTTTTGTGAAAAAATTATTTGTTGGCAAAAGACTAAGATGAAGTTGGTAGACTAGGCGAGAAAAAAATTACTTGTTGACAATAAGCTAGAATGAAGCTGGTAGACAAGGCGAGAAAAACATTACCTGCTGACAAAAGACTTCGATGAAGTTGGTAGACCAGCCGAGAAAAAAATACTTGCTGACAAAAGACTAAGATGAAGTTGGTAGACCGGGCGAGAAAAATAATTAAATCGATAAAGCTGGTAGATCCGGAAAAGATAATAAACATTGCATTCGTTGTAGACCTGTAGCCCAATGTTTAGATGCCCTTGAAAATCATATACTCCTCTACACAGTAGAAGTACTGGGCTTCGAAAAATGACATATAGAGAAAAATCATTTGCAATTTTGTAAAGAATTGAAAATTTGAAAACCAATACAGCAATATGAATGGGGAAATGGGCAGATACCGTCTCTTTATTAAATGTGAATGTATAATGATTACGTTTCGTATGCAATAACATGTCAATGTTAATACGTTAACTTACGGTTGTTTTTTTGTAAATTAGTACAATCAGTAGAGATAAATAATATAGCGTATTATTAAACAACGATTACAGAATCAGTTTATACGTCATCAATATGGCAAACTTAATGAAGTGACTTAGACATCGTCATATACATCAGCATATTGCTGTACATATCCAAAATTACAAATAAAAAGTTTGGTTTTCGTAAGCAATGCTAGTATTATCTTTCATTCCAGCAGTTTCTGTGAAAAAACTTGGCAAAAGTAAATTTTCAAACATATAGTTAATTCTTACATAGCGTATGTTAAGTATGTGCATACATTATATACATATTAAGTGATTTCTTGTATAGTGATTATGTGAGCAATGAACGGAAAATCTTGAAATCTTGTAACCGTGGGTGTAGGTGTCACACTAACTATTTAATATATACCTTTTAAAAGCTTGTCTATGCGATGTCAATTAAATTGCGGCTTGTTTTTTTTTTTTTTTTTAGATTACTGATCAAAAAGACAAAATACTACACAACCTTTTTTTCATGCGTGACAAGGGAAATCAAACGATGATCTTGTACCGTGTTTATCTTTGTTTCCGCTATCTATGGACCGTGAGTCACGCTTGATAATCACCGGAGTCATCACAAGAGATTTACGTGTCGCTCTTTGTTAGATTTCGGCATAAACAGGGATTTGTCAGTCGAGACTGAATATAACATGCTTATTTCAGTGAAAAAATATTAATTGAACAGTTTTTAGTAATTTAGTAGAAATTTAGTACCTATCAACACGGACTATAAGTCCGTTCTATCACCGAATTTCAGACAATAAATAAATAACTATTGTTTACTCATCACTTCAAAGTAACTTTAAATAAAAACTATCATGTACATGGTTTTGTTTGTCTTTATTTCTATGTATTTTTTGTTTTTCTAATTACTAAACAACTGCTTAATAAGACTTGATATATATATACATACATGTTGAGAAAATATAAGCATTTTCTCGTTAAAATCATGTGTTTATCAGGTACCTGTTTTTTATAACAAATCTACTACACCTTAATGACCAGTATACCTGTACTATAACAGAGAAACATACTCTATGACTGACGTGTGTTATTCTTGGCTCTTTACACGTATACTACCTGACAATCATTAAGTTACTTTGTAGATAACATGCTTGTTGATTTTCACACCTCTACAATTGATGACTTTAAAAGCTATTGTTTTTGGTATGAGGAATATGTTATACAGATCTACGGCACTCTTGAGTACCACCTTATAATCGTTACTGCGCAGGAGGGTTGGTGCACTGGTTCATAGAAGCTGATTCGTATGTGACGAATACAGACGTTAGGGAAAGCGCTCCCGATCGTAGCATGATGCCGTAGATTGGAGCAGTTCCTGATAAACCACAGGGGAATCTTAACACGAATCAATTGGATGTTGGATGATCGTCAGGGACCGCAGCCCCATCCCACAAATTTGAGATAATTTAGAAATGCATTATGGAGATGAAGATGTATTTTTTCCCTGCTTTTTCAAAAGTTCTTCATTAAAAGGAATTCGTACGAACTAGCATTGGTGTAGAGCAATTTTCTCGCTCATACCCTAATACCTTGACATGGCACTTATTAATGGTTCTACCGATGGATGTTTGAATTGTAACCTGTCCACTTTGTCCGAGGTTTACGTGGATGCTACCGCAAATTCGTTAAATACATCAACATTTTACACATATGATTACGACTACACTGATTACTCTCTTCCTCTTCAGGAGGTCATACCTGTTGCCCTGGTCTACGGGGCGACTTTAGTGTTGGGAATCGTGGGAAATATTCTGGTGATCTTTTCTGTGACTCGTTTTCAAAGACTGAAAACGATCACAAACACATTCCTTGTCAGTTTGGCATCCGCCGACCTCCTAGTTATCATCGTTTGTGTCCCGACAAAGGTAAGTGAGCAACCATTGTATATATCGTATATCGGACTTAACAAAAGTTCCCAACAATTGTAAAGCCCCTTCGAAATCAGAGTTTTCTTGTGTATATAAATGGAATTTAGGCTGCTGACATCGTATTTGCTCCCAAAGTGATAAGTTTTGCGTCTGTTCGTAGCATTTCAATTTTCCCCACAAATGCTAAGTCTCTGGCATCTTAGTTATCATGTCCCTACAAAGTTAAGGCCTCCACACAGGCACCATGTTTTAGGTATCTTGTATGTCATTCTTCAGAGTACATTGATAAAACTGTAAACTAATCATCTTTTTAAAAAAAAAAAATTCCATTTAAAAGGAAAAAAACTTTTCTCGCTTTAACTCTTTGATACCTTTCTGATAGAACCGGCGTCGTTTTTTGTCAGGATCTATGATAATTACAGTATGTAACAGTGAAATTTTGCGTTGATTTTGTGTTACAAATTGATTACTGACATCATATCTCTCAGAACAAAGCAGTAAGATTTAAAACTTACCTAAATTAAAACACGTAGAGTCAATATTGAAAAACCTATGTGAAAAAGTTCCCGAATGTCTCCGATCTCCTCTGTGACTTCTAGGTGTTAACGTCTATTAAAAGTATTTCGTGTTTCCTATTAAGCTTAATACCATATCGAAAATGTTACTTCATTCAACTGGATGTTGATAATCAACGGAAACCAATTCCTTACTGAATGTATTCCTAATTCAGTTGCACATTTCTTGAAAACGGCGTCGTTGAATTATATTTAAATACTGATGTCAATTATCATTCCAATGTGTCTTTAAACGAGGGACAGCAAGATAATATTTGGCAACTGTAGTTGTTCAATATACTTTGTGACACTTTACAACATGTTCTGCCTACTATAATATATCTATAGATATTCTGACTTTGATAGGCAGGGGAATATTGTAACTTTTATCCATACTGCGACAAGACGGGCAATATCATGACTTCATTCCAACTGTGACAGGCCGGGCGATATCGTGACTTCATTCTTCACTCTGGCAGGTCTTTGGATATCGTGACTTCATTCCTCACTGTGACAGGCCGGGCGATATCGTGACTTCATTCCAATTGTGACAGGCCGCGGAGATATCGTGACTTCATTCCAAATGTGACAGGCCGGGCGATATCGTGACTTCATTCCTCACTGTGACAGGCCAGGCGATATCGTGACTTCATTCCTCACTGTGACAGGTCGTGGGATATCGTGACTTCATTCCTCACTGTGACAGGCCGGGCGATATCGTGACTTCATTCCAAATGTGACAGGCCGCGCGGATATCGTGACTTCATTCCAAATGTGACAGGCCGGGCGATATCGTGACTTCATTCCTCACTGTGACAGGCCGGGCGATATCGTGACTTCATTCCTCACTCTGGTAGGTCGTGGGATATCAGGACTTCATTCCTCACTTTGACAGGTCGGGCGATGTCGTGACTTCATTCCTCACTGTGACAGGCCGGGCGATATCGTGACTTCATTCCTCACTGTGGCAGGTCGTGGGATATCAGGACTTCATTCCTCACTTTGACAGGTCGGGCGATGTCGTGACTTCATTCCTCACTGTGACAGGCCGGGCGATGTCGTGACTTCATTCCTCACTTTGACAGGTCGGGCGTTGTCGTGACTTCATTCCTCACTGTGACAGGCCGGGCGATGTCGTGACTTCATTCCTCACTGTGACAGGCCGGGCGATATCGTGACTTCATTCCTCACTGTGACAGGCCGGGCGATGTCGTGACTTCATTCCTCACTGTGACAGGTCGGGCGATGTCGTGACTTCATTCCTCACTGTGACAGGCCGGGCGATGTCGTGACTTCATTCCTCACTGTGACAGGCCGGGCGATATCGTGACTTCATTCCTCACTGTGGCAGGTCGTGGGATATCAGGACTTCATTCCTAACTGTGACAGGCCTGGCGAAATCGTGACTTCATTCCAACTTTGACAGGCCGGGTGATATCGTGTCTTCATTCCTCACTGTGACAGGCCGGGCGATATCGTGACTTCATTCCAACTTTGACATTACTTGCGATATTGTGACTTCATTCCAACTTTGACATTACGGGTGATATCGTGACTTCATTCAAACTGTGACAGGCCGCGGAGATATCGTGACTTTATTCCAACTGTGACAGACCGGAGATATCGTCACTTCTTACAATACTGTGACAGGCCGAGCGATATAGTGAATTCATTCCAACTGTGACAGGACGGGGGGATATCGTGACTTTTTCCACACTGGCAGGCCGAGGATATCGTGACTTTTTCCACACTGTGACAGGCCGAGGATATCGTGGCAATTTAGTGTCACGCTTCGCTTCCTTTGATAGTTTAGTAGATAATGCTGGCATTTTGACACCATAATTCCCACGCTGTGATGAGTAGACTGTTATAGTGGTACGTTTATCAAATGCTTCCAACGCTGTGACAGGATGGAAAATATTGTCACAGATCGGTAGATAATCCTGATATTTTGAACGCCATATTTTCCATTTTGTAGTAGGTTGGGGATATCAACTTATTAGCAAACCATGATTTTTATCGCTTTGATAGTTTCGTGGAAAATCTAGGCTATGATTTCACGCTGTGACAGGTGACAGGCATACAGAACCGCTTTCTCCATGCATCAGTTTAGCCGGTTGCACCTTTTTGCTAAACTATGACGCTAGTAAATGATAGAGAATAGATTAATGTACCACATCCGTTTCCTGATCTCAAACATGTGATTACGTTCTGCTGTTGTAGACCGACCTCAGTGGACATAATAGCGTATGATTGTAAAGTGTTTTGTACTGTATACAGTAATGAAGAGATATAACTATCATTTGTGTACTTTCTCCAGTTTCCAAATTACACAACGCGGATCTCTTAGTAAAAAAAGGCCATAATCTTATCTCCGAAATTCTTTAAAATTTATAGGAGTATGATTGAGATTGGAATGATTCTACTAAGGTAATATGTATAATATACAATGTGGATTACAGATAAGCGGAAACGACGTGTTGAATCCTATTAGAATGACAAAGAAGAAACAGATGATATGTGTACTTGATTTAATTACAACATCTTAAGGTGACATGAACACATAAATAATGTTAAACAATAACATCTAGTTGCGCAGTATATGCATATGATTTAAACTTCCAAAAATATCTATCTTGAAGTAAGATTCAGTCGATTTTATGATTAACATTATGATTAGCAATGGTTGAAAATGCGTAGAGAAACAATGCATATTGCATCCTAAGGGGGTCGGGGGATGATTAAAATCTGGTAATCATTTTAGTGATAATGTTTGTACATGTAGTTTATGTAATGGATCACCCTCTGATTGATAAAGCCCATTAATAGTCAGTATAAGGTAGATCGTACTACCAGTGATAGTTTGAAGAGGTTTTGCAGCATATGTAAATTGAAAACAACAATCTAATTATCTCACGTCTCAGGAATCACTACGACACTACGATCATTGCCGAGCTAGTATTAAACTTATGAAATCAAATGGTTAGTGGACGTACACTCTGAGGGAGCTTTGCCTGCATATGAACATAATTGTATGAAACCTATGCCAATTAATATCGGAAGATATATCACGTCAGGTGTGCTTGAGGGAGAAAAGGAAAGAAAACACATTTAGGACAATGCAATTACTTCCGAGGCAGATGAATCGGAGAGAGGTTCCTGAACCAATAATACGAATTTATCTGTTCAGATATCGTAGGCATATACATTAAACCAGTATGGTGAAGCCAATTATGAAAGAGAGAATCGATCACATATAATAGTTAGTTTTAACAAGGAATATTCCAGACCTACCGTCATTTTCTTTAGATGTGGGGTTGCAAATGATGCTTTGCGAAGGATGTCATTTGAATGTAATGATAACGCTCATTTTGAACGGAAATGTAACAAAGACGTCATTGACTATGTACATTGTAGAACATGTTGGTCCTTCCGAACCTGAAATCAGATATCCTACTGATTTTTATATTCACTGATCATAAGTGTAAGTCTAGTCAGTTTTAATTAATTGATCTCGAATAGTGACAGGCTAATAACACAGGGTTCCAGCGCTGGCATTATGGTGTCAACTATTAGGAACTTTCCTTAGGAAGTATTTAATATCGAGATGTAAATCGATCACTTTCATATTCAATAGTGATAGGTAGCCATACAGCTGACTTTAAGTTTCATTACCACTGCCCATCTCAATTCAATGATGTCATATTACATGGTTTTGTCACAGTTACATGTCGATTGCAGTGAATGGAAATAGGAATTATTTGCCTTTGAAAACACATCGTTGAAATGCCTTAAGTCTTCTAATTACCGGTATTCCCGTCTTATTTTGATACAAATTACCGCATTAGTCCAACTATCCGAAAATATGAATAATTTTGGTGAAGCTTTCCCTGGAGTTTGATGTTTTCACATGTAAATATATAAATAACATTTTAGAAGTAGACGGTCGCGTAGAGGTTAACTATTTATCCTCCTGTTTACTCTTAGTCCTCCTTACATAGAGTACTACCAGGCAGACATATTCATTTCTTATTGCCCGTATGTACTTATTTCAAACAGATTTCAAATTTGGAAGAGTAAGTTTACATTACTTCTATCGAGGAAAAATTATTTTCTTGAAAAACGGATGTTTCCTAAATTGGATCTGACATGGCAAAATATTGTCATCATGTCTCCTGTTTTTTTGTTTTGTTTTTGTTTTTGTTTTGTTTTTTGTTACAGAATTGCTACGTTAACGCCTTTTATGTAAGTAATCAAAACAAATTGTTGGAAGTTAATTCGGTCTAAGATGTATGAATGATCAGATCATACCGAAATAGTACCAGAAAGGACACAAGTAAACCGTTCCTTTTTTCATTATTATCCACTTCAGTACTAATACTTAATTTATGTCTATAAACGACCAATAATAAATATCTCTATGTTGTGGATAGGTTCATACGC